ACATTACTTCGAGTTCGAATCATTCACTCGACTACTAAGCCTACGGGCTACTTTTATTTCGAGGTTTTATTTCGAGTTCGAGCAAGCACTACTTGACCATTACGCCTACGGGCTACATTACTTCGAGTTCGAGTCATTCACTCGACTACTAAGCCTACGGGCTACTTTTATTTCGAGTTCGAGCAAGCACTCACTCGACCATTACGCCTACGGGCTACATTATTTCGAGTTCGAATCATTCACTCGACTACTAAGCTTACGGGCTACTCTTATTTTGAGTTCGAGCAAGCAAGCACTCGACCATTACGCCTACAGGCTACATTACTTCGAGTTCGAATCATTCACTCGACTACTAAGCCTACGGGCTACTTTTATTTCGAGTTCGAGCAAGCACGCACTCGACCATTACGCCTATGGGCTACATTACTTCGAGATTACTTCGAGTTCGAATCATTCACTCGACTACTAAGCCTACAGGCTACTTTTATTTCGAGTTCGAGCAAGCACCCACTCGACCATTACGCCTACGGGCTATATTTCTTCGAGCTCGAATCATTGACTCAACTAATAAGCCTAAGGGCTACATCACTTCAAGTTTGAATAAGCACTCGCTCGATTATAGAGGCTACGAAGTCCAAATTTGATTAAGTTGTTGAAATCCTTGTGAAAACATTCATAAGGCATGAATAAAGTCTTCACAAAACAGAAGCAAGTCGGCAATATTGTCTATATACAAAATTGTCTACATGATTGATTACAACGTAAAAATTAAGGACTAAGCTTCCTGGTCATCCTCAGGAGCGGTCTCTTCTCTATCGGGCTCCCCCCCGTTCTCGGATCCGCTCTTACTCCCATCATCATCATCATTGTCATCATCATCATCGTCATCGGAAACCAGGGCTTCAGCATCGGCTTCGAGTTCTTTGGCCCTTTTTATCTCTTCAGCGAGATCGAAACCACGAGCATGGATCTCCTCGAGGGTTTCCCTCCGAGATCGGCACTTAGCAAGTTCGGCGACCCAATGTGCTCGAGTATCGGCAGTCTCGGCTGCCTCTCTTGCTTAGACCTGGGCAGCTTCAGCATCGGCCCGATAGACGGCCACGAGTGCATCCGCATCGGCTTTTGCCTTTTCGGCATCAGATTCGGCCTTGGCAAGTACAGAGGCCAACCGAGCCTCGAGCTCCTCTATTCTTCTTGCTTGAACCAGGCCTTTTTCTTTCATTCTCTGAAGTTGGGTTTCGGCAGATGATAACTAGGCTCGAGCAGTTTCTTTCTCTGCATCAAAGCGGTTCATACCTTCTTTCCACTGCAAAGACTCTGTTTTTATCACGTCGACCTCCTCACGAAGCTTCCCGATCATCTCAATTTTTTGCTGCAACTGTGAGACCGAAAAATTAGCCATCGTTCCGGTATCAAGCCCATAGGCTTTTAAAAGTATCATTACCTGCTCAGACAAATCGGCCTGATCTCGATAAGCCTTGGCCAACTCAGCTCGGAGGTCTTTTATTTCCTCTTCTCTCTGCCCTAAAAGAAGTGTTAGGGAGTTTCTCTCATCAGTAACCCGTTGAAGGTCGGCCTCGTATCGACGCAGCGCTTTTTGGGACCGAGAACATGCTTCTCGATAAACTGTCGTTGCCTACAAAGAAACAAGAAACGAAGTTAATGAAAAGTAAACATAAAGATAGTACCGACAAAATAATTTTAAGGCTTACCTGATTCAAAGCCTGCCGTACCCCGTGAAAAAGATCTGATTCATCACCAGTGCCGGCAACGTCCTCGATACCGGTAAACAGGTCACGAAAGGGATCCTCTTCATCGTGAGGCCTATCTAGATCGAGGGCCCCCAGAGCTTGGGCTTCCCGAATCACCCCTGCGAAAAAAGCGGGAAAGGTGGGCGAATCTTCGATTGCTGCTGCCCCAAAATGAATTACTTGGAGCATTCTCTTCGGTTCGAAGGGATTCGAGGGCCCTTTCAGACATATCACCCACCCGTTGGCTCCGATGAGATGCGTCTTCGATCTCCGATAATTCAGGGATTCCACCCGAATCTTTCTCCGGTATATCCTCAGTTCGAGGCGGAGCCTCATAAAGCATCATCGATCCAGCTGCCGATGGGGCATCGGTGGTTCTCTTCGTTCGGGCCGCCAGCGCGGACCCATCATTTTCTTCTTCTTCTTCTTCTTCATCTTCATCCCTTAGACGCAGAACTGATTCCACGGTCAAAGGAATGGCATTCTTGTTCGGCTTACGAGCCGTCCTCTTCTTCGGGTTTGGATCTTCGGGAACGGTGGCTCTTTTCTTTTTATTTCCCTTCACCGGCTTTGGAACAGAGGCCGAAGTTTCTTCCTCGTTGGACAAGGGCCTCAAAACTGCATCTTTGCCCAAACCTGGATATGAAAAAATTTATTAAAATATTTGGAAACCACCTCGTTCGAATTATCAAAGAGTACTAGAAAGGGGCTTACCATGATTCTTGGCCTCCCACCACCCTTTGACAAATCACGGCATGAGCGCTCGGCGTATGTAAAGGTCGAAACAAGAGCTCGTACCCAGTTCTTGAGATCGAGAACTGCTCCGGGCATCCAGGGAACCGCTACATCACAAAANCCGACGCTGAAGTTTTATTAACCCTCCTTGAAAAAGTCGAGGACGGTACAATCGGATAAGATGGTCGAGGGTGAACGGCATCCCCTCGATTTTGCTCACAAAGTATCGGATCAGGATAACGATCCGCCAGAAAGAAGGATGGACCTAGCCTATGGTTATTTGGTATTGACGACAGAAGTCAATAATAACGGAATCGAGGGGACCTAACGTGAAAGGGTAAGTATACACATTCAAAAACCCTTTCACGTAAGAAGTGATATCTTCGCCAGAAGAAGGAATCATTATTTCTTTTTTATCCCAATTGCAAT